AAAAAAAAAAAAAAAAAAAGTTCATGGAGTTTTGTAGCTGACTTAAAATATTTTAGTTGGAAATGCCTGTTTCTGTTGTTTTCCAAAACAGTCGTCTTTGGCTATGGATCTGTACCTCTTACTTTACTACCTACTTTATTTACTTAACACTTTTTCTTATGCATTTTTTTAAATGGAAAAGCACTTGCATACTTTGAAGTGACTTCTTAAAATATTGGTGTTGCAGTAAACATTAATTTGCAATACAAATATCTTGAACATTTTAAAGTGATTCACTGTTAAACATATGTACTTATTTATGTACTGTATCTTTTGCATGTATTTTTATTAGGCAACTATGCAGTGAAAATTCTAACTAAATAAAAACAGTCAACAGTTGCCTCATTCAGTGGCACACAAGAGCTTATGTTACTACTGTTGACCAGTAGAGTTTGAGCAACAACTCTTACAGTATTTTCTGAAAGTAGGTCACAAAGTTCAAATGGTGGTAATTAAACGTGGCATGGCATCCCAACAGTGAAAATGAAGAGCAGTTGCTGTGTTCCCTTGGCTGTTGCAGAGATATTTTTAAGTCCTGAATCACTTTACTTGTTGATTTATAAATCACTTTTTCAAAAGAGAAAGTTGTTGACTTAAGTTTATTAATAAAAGAGAGCAAAAATCGTTTTTTAGTTTTGCTGACATTTTCAGCTTTCAAGTTCATCATCAACATGCATATCATCAACACTTTGAAAAGTGTTGTATAACTTGATTTAGAAAGTAACAGGTAGCTGATCTTGGCACTAATAACATAGTACATGAAGTTCAAAGAATGTTGCTTTGTTTGTTTGCTTTTTGTTTTATTTTTTCTTATACCTTATCTGGGTTTAGGGTTTTTATTCTGGAGGATTTTGCTTTGTGTGTGTTGAAAGATGGAAATTGACATTAAGGAAACATGATAGAGACAGATGTAGATCCTAAACCTGACGGTTTTATTAAGGATTATGGTTACGCTGCTATTTTTATTATTATAAATCCATTTTAGAATAAAACTTACTCCCCTAAGGTTAAAAGCCTCTTGTTCTGCAAATATTAGATAGAGTAAGTTTAAAGAAAGTGCACGATTCACGCTATGTTTTTGTTCATGTGTCACAAAAATATTATATAGGCCTGAATCAAGGTAAAGTCTTGTAGGTACCAGCCTCATCATTCTTGCAGAAACTGACATACTTCTCAAATAGAGAGAAATTAATACGGCTCCTACAGCAAACAGATCCATATTTAATAAACCATCTTGCAACCTTTGCTTATAAGGCTGAAGTGATCAGAGCTAAACATCCTTTACCGCTGATATGACCGATAAACTTTATCACTATATTTTTTACTATGAAGGACCTATGCATAACATTTTATAGGTTTATGATCTGATTTATCACTGTATTTATATTTGATTACGTTAATTTTAGGAGTAGGAAGAATGCTTTTATATTGGTTGCTCTATTTTATTGTTATAGTTGTATTTCTGTTATTTTTGCTTAAATTTATATTATAGTTTCATGTCTGTTATGTTGTTTTTTGGGGTATGACTTTTAGCCAGAATCCTTAATAAATTGAATTGTCTGTACCAGAAACTTGTACCTATTTAACAGAAATAGGGTGTTTTTGGTTGTTTTTTTCTTTAAATCAACTGTTGTAGTTTTCTGTTCTGGGTATATTAAGATCTAAAGGTAAGTCTACACTACATAGTGCAGTATCTGCATTTTTTCTTTAGTGAAGTAGTCATATATTCCACAAATGGGTGCAGGTTTAGTACTTTGTCAGTAATAAAATTATGATACTATAAGTTTGGTAACTTCATCGTTCCTATTAAATGCTCCATTGATTTCCTATATTGGCATTATTGTTCAGATGTCTCTTAGGCTAATGTTTCTTGCTTATTTACACTTACAGTCAAATTGTCATGCACCTTAAAGCATGAACCCAAGGGATGTGTGTAAATTAGTGATTATAGGTTTTCTTGAAGACATGAACTTGCTATTAATTTAGCCTATTTTTTTCCTTATCTTGTTTTATAATACCTGAAATAGTTTTCCAAAATCAACTTGCAGGGTACAAGGAAACTCAGTGGTTTTACAGTCCTTATGGTACCCTGAATTCTAACAGAACAGGTATTGACTAAGATCAATTATAGAATTTTACTTGCTCAAAATACATTTTTACCATGGTGAGAACTGAGTGAGGGAACGCAGACAAAAGTGATTTAGTATTTAATTGTTAATGGAAATAAATGTTTTGCAGATTTCAATGGGCCAGATGCTACAAGATTTTGGAAAATTCTTGGGGATGTTCCTTCTTGTCTTGTTTTCATTCACAATTGGATTGACCCAACTGTATGATAAAGGATTTCCTGTCAACAATGACAAGGACTGTACCGGGATCTTCTGTGAACAGCAAAGCAATGACACATTTCATTCGTAAGTTTTACACTGTTAAATAAACCTTAATACAAGTAATTGCTGCCTTTGCTCTCTGAAATGTATTTATCTTAGGATGCAAACTGACATTGCTTTGTGCTGCCGTAAAACAATTTATTGCAGCTAGGGATGTAAAAGGTTAAACAGTAATTATATTTTTATCGTTTTAATGTATACCATTTACTGTTTACCTCCTGGCTTGGTGCTGCCTACTGTCAGAGTGGCTCTGGCAGGGGCTGCCTGGGAGGTGGTGTAGATCCAGGCTGCAGCAGGGAGGTAAATAGCAGTTATCTGAGGGAATAGGGCAGGGCAAAATTGCATGGCAGAGCTGTCTGGGCTTAAATAGGAGCAAGTGCAGTGGCAGGGCTGCCATTGGGTGCTGCAGGGGAGAGCTGTAAAGAGCCAGGCACTCCCACCCCCATAGCACCTACAGGAGTTCCCACCTGCTGGGACAGCTGTGTCATGCTGCACCCAGGTGGTGCTTCCAGCCCTTGGGTGCCCAGAGCCCCAGGCAGTGCCTTCCTCCCACCTGCCTGCCTCTCCCCTGGGCTCCGGCAGCTGCCATTTAGCAAGGACCTGTGGTGGCTTTCCCAGCCTAGGGGCATGTGGTAGATGGATATGCCACACAAGATCACACCTGAGGCATCCATCTGTGGACTAAGTGCCATCTGCTAGGAGCTGTGATACTGAGGCAAGCCCTTAACTGAGTGGGAGGAGCGTGGCACCAGTCCCGTTGCTGGCTAGTTGCATCCAGAAGCCTCTCCCTGCTCTGCTGAGGGCTTGCCGCAGTGCCTTGGCTCCTAGCAGAAGGTGCTCTGTCCACAGGTGGACGCATTGGGCATGAGCCTGCACATCATGTCCTTCCACCCTTCCACATGCTCCCATGCTGGAAGAGCCGCTGTGGCTCCTTGCCAAGTGGCAGCTGCTGGAGCCTAGGGGAAGGCAGGCAGGAGAGAGGCACCACCTGGGGCTCTAGGCACCCACAGGCTATAGGCTGTGTCAGGTGAGGCAACATCAGTGTAAAAATACAAATAATGGGTCAATACTAGTACACTGTTAACTGCTAGAGCCAGCAGAGATTTACCAATTTATATATAGCAGTGATGAGAGAATTTCACACAAGACAGTGCAGTTTACCCTGTTGACCTGACAGTGCATCTCAGACATTTCAAGGTGAACTACATCAACTCTAAAATATTCATTTTTATTGAACAGTACCTTTTAAGCTCAAAACTGCAGTGGTTAATGATTTTAAAGTTCATTGTGCTTAAACATATTGTGAAGCATCTTCAAAGCACCATGGCATGAAAATTAAACTAATATGGTTTGAAGGTATTACTATAAAATTTATCAACTCAATGATCTGCAGATGATAAAAAATTTTCAAGTTGAATTACTTGGTGACTCTCTTTTGAGTAAACTAGAATGACTTCAAATATGGTGTTTCCTGTTACACTGGGCACAGCTGAGTTAATTTCAGTAATATATTAAAAAAAAATACCAGCCTTAAAACCATGTGGAGTACATTAACAGTCCTTAAGTCCATCAAAGTTAGCTCAATTCACGTTTCATAGCACTCCTAATTGTAGCCCTAGAGGATTCAGTTGTCTGAAAAGCATTCCTTTCTTTGTTGTTAGTAATCTTGTTCTTGATTGTTCTTATAGGATTATGCCCAACTTAATTAAAGGTATTGAGGGCCTTTCTTGACTCCATTGTCATTCCATGACAGTTTTGTGTATATGTGTTAGGTAGTTTTGTTTTATTTTTAAACCAAAGGTATTTTGTATCTGAGATACCAGGAGTATCTTTTATTGATTTATATGTGATGATTTTAAATAAATCGTGCTCTGGAATATCAGTGATACCAATTGTGATACCATTACTGAACCTCATGCCTGTCCACAGGTAGCCCTGTTCTCTTCACTGTAACTGCTTAAGGTTTAAAGAACTGTTCAGCATCGACAGCATATTATTCTGGACACCAATTCCTACCATATTTACTCATGTAGCACATGCGTCCTTTTCACTAAAACCAGCTCTCTCAAAATGAGGAGCATTTCTTAAGTGGGGAATCTGATTTTTTTTTTTATTTTTATTTTTTTTCCTTCACTGGAATAGAAACCAGGTGGAATATTGTTATAGACATTGTGACAGGTTACCACTTCTCTCTGGGGCTGTAAACGGCAATGGTGGAATCCAGTGTTAAACCTGTCTCACCCACTGGTGAGGCAGTAGCTATTGGCTGAAGAGTCACTGAGCTGATTAAGGACGAATGAGCTGTTTCCTGCAGTCTGTAGTATCTTGATGAGGCTTGTGGTTTGTGTTGTAGAACGTTATTATTTACAGGAATTTCACATAAAGAACTATTTGCAGTAAATCGGTAACAGTCTTGGTAGTGTCCCTGCAAGGGTCTGGGGCCTAGTCTTGTTGCTGCTTTGCCACACCAGACTGCCTGACCCAGGCTCTCTCCTGCTTGACCTAGACTGTCTTCTGGGATGGTATACTTCCTAGAGATGTTGTTTCCAGAAAGACTTACCGTACCACATGGTCAGCGATACAGCCATAACTCAAGGAAAAATCTTTCTTTTTATACTTTCTGCTTTCCAAAAACGAAAGGCATGTTTTATTTGGGGGCATGTATGATTCAAGAAAATATGGTAGTAATGGAGTAGGATTGGCATCTCAAATGGAATAATGTAATTCACATGCTAATTGCTTTTACATATGTGCTATAGTGTAAAATATATATACTAATACTAAAATGTATACTAATTTTTTGTGTGCATCCTAATCGAAGGCTGTTTTATTTTTTAGGTTTATTGGCACCTGCTTCGCTCTGTTCTGGTACATATTCTCTCTAGCACATGTAGCAATCTTTGTCACTAGATTTAGCTATGGTGAAGAGTTGCAATCTTTTGTGGGGGCTGTAATTGTTGGGACCTACAACGTAGTGGTTGTGATTGTCCTTACCAAGCTTCTAGTGGCAATGCTTCATAAAAGTTTTCAGCTTATAGCAGTAAGTGACATTGAGTTGTTTTTGTTGTTGTTTTATGTGTCTGCAACGTTCTTGGGCTTGTCTGTTATGAGGCTGTTAGCTGCTAACATAGCTATAGTGCTATGGTGGCAGAGCCCTCTAATGAAGGTGTTGTGTATACCAGCAGAATGGAGGTTTTAGCCAACTTTGCTGCAGTCCCTCTATAGAAACTCTGCTGGAGAAAGTACTTAGCATACCTGCATCCAGCTGGAAGGAGTCTGCTACCAAAGCTATGTTGGCAGTGGTGTGTAAAAAGACACACTAGCTGCAGTAACTATACTGGCAAATTTTTGTAATATTGTTTGTTATGGCACCAATGTAATTGAGCTTGGACGTATATAATATGTATTTATGAGATTATGGCTTGTCAGGCAGATATTGGACGAAGTGATTCTTAGTTATAAAAACATTTTCTGATATCCAGGCCTTGGGGGAATCAAAGATTTGAAAAATGTAGTCAGCCAGTCGGTCTAGAACCAATTTTTGTCAGTATATTGCAGCTTTTATTTATTACAGATACCTCTTTTAAAGTCCGTTTAATGTATGAATTATACAACATAGTAGTTGACTTTTATTTTTATACTCTAGCACACGTTGGTGCTATAAATAATGCCGTTCATTCTATTTTGGTGTTTAAGATAGTGGAAAATCTTAGCCTCTTAGTGTTAAAATATAAATTCTACAAACATTCCATATACATTTTGTGCAGCATTTCCTTTTGTGTTACCTGATCTCTATCAACATTTCTTATATTGTAGAATCATGAAGATAAAGAATGGAAATTTGCTCGTGCCAAACTTTGGCTTAGTTACTTTGATGACAAATGCACACTGCCTCCACCTTTCAATGTCATTCCTTCGCCCAAGACCATCTGCTATCTCTTTAACAGCCTCAGTAAATGGATCTGCTCTCATACTTCAAGTGGCAAAGTAAAACGTCAGAATAGTCTGAAGGTAAAACATGATCTAGAATGTTTGGTGAACTTTTCACAACCAGAAAAATCTCTTTAAAGTGAACCTAAGAATATTGATAGTAGCTTATTTTCTGGGCAGTCGCATGGTGGATGCTGCTAAAGTAAATCACAATAATACCATGTCACTAGTCTTAGGCAGACCCCAAATACTAATGTCAGTGTATTACAGGAACAGACTGGTTTTAGTTGAGTTTTTAATTAAAACTGGCCTAATTTTCCAGTCTTTCAAAAATAATAACTAGCCCTGGCACATAATAGAAAAAATTGTAGAACTTTCAGCAAGTACGTTGTTATAATAATAGTAGTAATAATAATATAGAATATGGTACGGTTAGAATATGCTTAGGAGTCACTAATTTTAAACATGTCACATGACCTGTCAAAATAAATTACCAAAAAAGGGAATACTGTCTCTTTTTTTGGTATTAGTTTAAATAAACATATTTAATGTACCCTATAATTACATCTACTGATTTCTACATCTCCTTCTTTCAACCAAAAATAGTTGCAAGTAAACCCAGCTGAAAGTCTGTGCAGAATGTACACTTAAGTAAAGAATTATTAAAAATGGTTGAAATACACTATACACCCCTGTGATTGACTCAAAGCCAGATTGCTTAAGTTAGAAACCAAAATGTCTTTGACTCTCCTGGTTCAGTTGAGTGCCTTAACTTTCTGCATTTGCTGTATCTCCTATGTATGTGAGTTAGGAATTAATGTCTACAGCTTAACAGTTTATTTTTGTGCTTTTGACCTGAGCAATTGGACAGAGACTTTGGGCTTCAGAAAAGTCCTTTTTGTTTAGTTAACCTGTAACTGGTTTGTTTTGTTTTGTTTTGTTTTTTTAAAGGAATGGAGAAATTTGAAGCAAAAGAGGGATGAGAATTACCAAAAGGTGATGTGTTGTTTAGTCCATCGTTACCTGACCTCCATGAGGCAGAAGATGCAAAGCACGGATCAGGCGACTGTGGAAAACTTGAATGAACTACAGCAAGATTTATCAAAATTTCGAAATGAAATGAGGGACCTACTTGGTTTTAGGACCTCGAAATATGCTATGTTTTATCCAAGAAACTAGAGCCTGCATTTTCACAGGGAAGTGTTTAACACTAAGCGCCTACAACTGAAAATGTTGGCTTAATTCTGACACTAAACCAAATAAAAAAAAATATTGTTGTGCACACATTTGAAAATGTTTGCGTAAGCTGTAGCTAAGAGTTGGAAAGTAATGCAAAAGGCAAGTCATTCTGTTGAAATTCTTTGTGAATGGTGTGTGAAGCATAGTATGTAAAATATGTATATAGTTTTTTTTAAAAAAGAAATATGTGGATTGTGACCTGTCACAACAGCTAGTAGGCTTAAGATCTTCCTGGCTGGCATGCATATTGCATTTGCCTTTGTGTGTGTGTGTGTGTGTGTGTGTGTGTGTGTGTGTGTGTTCATTTTGCTTGTTTTTTAAGATGTGGGAGAAGATGGTATTTTAAAATACTTCAGAAAGCACCAAGTTTATTTTTAATAGAAATGTAAAAGTAGTAAAGTTGGTAATTATGATTTTCTAACTGATTGTGATATAAACTTGAAGACTGCATGAATCTGGAAAAGACTACTACCAGATTTTATACATGACATTGACAGAATGCTAATAGCCATGAAACAGAAAATCAAAATAAACGTAAGATTTTGAAGACTTTCCTATATATTGCAGGTTGGTAGAGAACGTTAAAATTTTGGATTTAAAAACCAAGTTCCATAGATCGACTTTTTTTTTATTTTATTTTTTTTTTTTTAAGACTCAAATCCTCTGCAAAACGTGTCAAACAAATCTTTTTCTTAAATAACTTTTCAAGTAGCAACTCAGATAAACATTTGTGATGTGCAAATCTTGGGAATGGATACAAAATTTTGTAATGAGTTTGTTAATCTGGGGTAGTACTTGGTATTCAAACATGCCATTTTTGGTCTGCATTACAAACAGAGTTCTCTAGGTTGGGAGAATCTCATTTTTAACAAGAATGCACACTATGCCTTTGCTGTTGGAAGATGTGTTTTCAGAAGGCTGTTTTAATGGTGTTTTTTTATACATCCTATATGAAATGTGTTTTGTCATACTGCTTTATTCCTGAAATAACTGTTGGCAAGTTTGACATGTGTCATGTCAGTAATATTATTAGACCTTGTAATTATTTGTGACGTTGATTTTGCATACAATGGAAAGCAAGGGCTTTGTGGGTTTTCTGTGCTGGGGGGATACAGTTTATCTTTTACACTAATGTATAATTTGGGTTCACAAACTAATTGAGAAAATACGATGCTCTTGTATTTTTAATTACAAAAAACATTGTATTGATGATAGCTAAAGGAGTTAAAGAATTGATTGGCAGAAATATTGTGAAAGCAATGTTTTAAAAATGTGGATATCTGGTAAGTGTATATTTTAGTGCCAGAAGGCACAGGCTGCTACAATGATCTTTTACCACAACCAATCCTGTGGTTGACAGAGAGAAGGTTTATGTCA